AATTTCTTCCTGTTCTTTTTCAAATTGCTGTTGCAGATACCTTTTGTATTTTTCAAACTTTTGATCACATAGGAACATGTGATATTGCAATTTGTATAGCCGATCTTGAAGTGGATCCGTTGAGTCACCTTCTGTAGGAATCCACCTGTCCAACGGGAGTGGGACATTAAGATCATGTTGCTCGCTTTCCTCCATGAATGATGCCATTTTTTTTGGATTTTCCATTTTTTGACAGACTCAAAAAAAGACTCAAAATACTCGATCTAAAGAAAACTCTAGACTCACAATTTCTTGACTTGACAACAAAACTAAACTTTGACAAACTTGACAACCAAAATAAATTTGACAACTTACAAACCTAGGACTTCCTAACTTGCTCTGATACCAAAATGATGCAACCAAAAAATACAGGGGACCCTATACTTCTCGATCACAAAAGACATGACGGACTTCTAAGGACGAAAACGACTAAAAACGAGAAAAGGTAAGAACAAACTCTTACATTTCAAATTAAAGAAACAAAAAGAAATTAAAAACACAAACTTGACTCGATCTCAAAGACACCCTAAAGTTGTTTCACTTAGAGAAGAAGGATACAGGTGGAGTGACACTTGCGGAGAGACAAAAGAGATTAGAAGCCCGAGAAGAAAGGTTGGAAAGAGCCCGCAGGATTTTCGGAGGAGATGAGAAAAGAAGGGTGGAAAGAGCCCACAGGATTTCCAAGCAACCCGCAGGTTAACATATTTTTTTCCAAAAATCACAAATCACATTCACTTACTTCAAACATAAACAATCCCCCATATTTATAGGTATGAAAGGGAATACAAAGAGACACATTACATTAATTTTGACACAATAAACTAAGCATTAAAACATAGAAATCTCCCCCCCCCCAAGCTCACGGTTAAACACCCAAACCAGGAACCAAGGAGACAGCCACGGGAGACGAGGGGAACCGCACGGACCGACAGCCACGGCCACGGGGAACAAGGGACGGTCACGGAAGAAGGAGCCCAGCCGTGAGATCCCAAGAGGCAAACAAATAAAGCCATGGTGGAATACAAGGAGCCACCATGGGAAAAAGAAATCTTGGAATTCCAAAGGCCAGTTTGGAATTCCAAGAGACAAACTTTAAAACAAACATAAAAAGCATAAAAGACATTAATTAAAAGATAATAAATGAACTAAAATATTAGTTCATAATGAGCTAACCCTTAGTTCAATAAATGAACTAAAAGTTTAGTTAAATGATGAACTACTAGACTCAAGGGAAGTCAAAATATGATTTATTTTGGACAAGTGTTGACCATAAACCTATTAACACACCTTCGGATACTCAAACTACAATTGATGATTTTAATGCATCTCTTGATGATCCATCTTCATATCACAAATTAGTGGGAAAACACATTTATCTAACCATTATGAGACCTGAAATTTCTTTTGTTGTTGAAGTGATAAGTTAGTAAATGCAAAATCCAAAGAAGCACTAGTAAGCTATTCTTAGCATCTTTAAATATATAAAGGCCTCCTAAAAATGGATTGCTTTAGAAAAAAATCAAAGAATTTGAACATTGAAACATTCTCCTATGATGATTATCCTAACTTTATTGAAGACAAGAGTAAACCACTGATTATTGCATCTTTGATTGAGAAATTTGGTCACTTGGTAGAGTAAGAAAAAGACATTTGTAGCAAGATCAAGCGCTGAAGCATAAAAAATATGGCACATTCTGCACTTGAATTGATGTAGAAAAAAACACTTATATGAGAATTTTATTTCGCTATTATTTAGCTTATGACTTTATATTGCAAAAATTGTGCCACTATCCGAATTGCTAGCAATCATGGTTTTTATGAATACACAAAATAACTTATTTATAAGCCCTCTTACAAGTAAATACGACATATAATGATTTTGTTTTTCATCCCAATACCTCCCAACAAACCTAATTCAGGTGTATGGCAATACTTATATGAAATATTACCTCCTCCCTTAATATTGACAATGCCTCGCCTACATAGGGAACTGATTCTTCTGGAACAAACTCCGTTACTCCAGCAACATCATTAGCTGTTCTTAGTGGATCATGTATAACTGGACCTTTTCCTTTAAGAATGTCAAATGGAATGTTCATACCTGGCAAGGGGGTTAATATGTCTGAGAACAATATGACCTGCAATACCAGGATTAAACAGGGTTTTAGAAACAGTACAAGAATAAATATCCACCTAAGTAATAAGGTAAGTTACATGTTGATGAGGACATTGACAGACGCTACCGACATGTTTATAGACGACGGAATCGCAGATCGACGGCCACGATTCAGCGCCTCTACTTTTGATTTAGATGTCCTGATGTATTATTTAGTTATTTATTGTTTTCCGTTTTTACCCCTGTTGGGAGTTGTTTGTTATCGTAGCCCAGAGGACAATTTTGTACTTTTCCTTTTTCATGAGTGGAGACCTATATATAGTGGTCTAATATGATGTATTGGGTTAATGATTATTTAAATGAAAATTGTGTTTTTGTTTCTACTTCTTCTTGCATGAGAGCGAGAGAAGGGAGAGAGCTCAAGGGGAGCAAATCGCAAGGCCCACCAATTGTTGGAAGAGTCCGCGGCTCGTGGTTAAGTTGTTCTATCTTCTCGTTTGTGTTTTCCCTCATCTACTTAACCTAAACCCTCATCCCGATTACCTTCAATCCAAGCCCCGAATTCTCCCACCGGCCACCTAGGGAGTCAACCAGCCGGCCAAGCCCCCTCCACCACCCCTTACCCCCAGCTCCACACGCTGGCCTCTCCCCCACCCCCCCTTTCCCCCACTTGTTCAAATTTTGAAATTCAAAATTGAATGAGTTCCAAAATTTCAAAATTTGTCAAAAGCCAAATTGGGAAAGTTTTCAAATTCAAATCAATTTGAAATTCAAATTGAATTGGATCTCATAATCAAACTTCCTAATGCGGAGAAACTAATTTGGAAGGTTCATAACTCGCTCCCACATCCTCTCCTCTCCCTCTTGAACCCGCCGGCCACCCATGGCTCCCTCTCCTCTCCCTCTTGAACCCGCCGGACACCCATGGCTCCCCCTCATTGATTGCCACATTAAACCCCTCCCCATTTGAAATTAAAAATTAATTTCAAATAAATCTTCCCCCCCAAAATTTTCAAATTCTGAAATTAATTTCAGGATTTGTTTTAAAACCCTTCCCCCTCTCTCTACAAAACTGGCGGCCTCCCCTCTTGGCTCCCCTCCTTAACTCCACCATTCAATGCATTAATGTCTTTGATTTGAAATTCAAAATTCCAATCAATTCCCTCCAATCTAATCAAATCTGAAATTAAATTTCAGATTTTGATTAATCCCCTCTACACTCCACTAAACTTAATTTCTCCAAACCCTAGCCCATCCCCCCTTGCACCCGCCGACTTCTCCCTCTCTCCTTGGAAATCCCGCCGCCCTCTCCTCTCCCTCTTCCTTCCTCGCGAACCACAGGTGCTCTCCCTCACCAAGTCATATTTCCCCTCTTCTCACTAGCGCTCTCTCAACGTCGGCAAGAATGCATGGCGGATCCCGAACGTGAATGGGGACTTGTGTTCGACGCCGACGGTAATATCAACATTCTACGATCTCCATTCTTCGACATAGGCTTTGAACACGACGACACCATTGGAGATTACTTGGATCGAGTTCTCCCCATCCTTACGCACGTCATCGACGGTCAATTTTTCGACTACGATTGGATCATCGTCGGCCACCCACCACCCTCATCTCCACCGGCTACCTCTCCACCAACGAAGTTCTCCGGCGCCGTCTTCCTAGTGGTAATATCCTTCTTCATATGGTTCATCTTCCTCCGCTAAAGCTTACAAGTAGTTGAGTGAGTAGGACCTTGAGGTGAACCTCTCGTTGTTAAACGTTGGATTATGTTATTTGTACTTAGCATTTAATTTTGCCTCGAACTTTGAAAGAATTGTTTGGTTATTCTCTATTTCACATCTTTGGCCTAAGCAAGTTGAATATTTCAAATTCATATCTTTCTTTTATGCGCTAAAGATAAATTTATATGAGCAAAGCTTTAATCAACTATCTTTCTAATTTCTAAATGTAACTCCTAGTAATTTCACATCACTTGTTCCCCATAAAATGAGCAACTCTTATTTCTGTCAGGCTTAGTTTATTGTAATATTTCTTCAAGGAGCTCTACTATGTCAGACCTGAAAACCTGTGCTCTGGAGAATTTGTGCATACCCCTATTAAAACAATTTCTTTAAATGACAGCTACAATGCCTTTGTTTATGGATGCAGTCATTTCTGGCCATTTTCTCAATGAAGAAAAAGAATAAATCAACAATTTGGCTTGCGAGACATGGAACTAAATCCGTGATTGATCACCTTCACAAAAGTTGTTCCTTGTTATATTGATGTTGCTTAAAATAGTTATTTTACATCACTCTATCCTATAAGTTTATTGTCAAAGTAGCTATCCAAGCATCAATTGTCAAAGAGTGTATGACAGCCGCACAAGCAAACTCATAATTCCTTGTCTTATTTTCCCAATCTTATCTTCAAGCACGCAACTTAGAGAAGAGCATGATAGGTTTTGCGTCATCTTCAGCTATAAAAACAATTCATGTGTGAGCATGTCGAGTTGATAAGCCTTGCAATATTTCGTTAAATGCAGCTGGATACTCAGTATTATGGTATACAGTAAAAATATTATATACAAATTTTTAAATGATATAAGGAATTCAGAATCCCAGCTGAACAACAATGCTATAAGAAATCAACTACTGTTTCTCCATTAGGAACTATCCCTGGCTAGCTTTTAACTATAAGTGCATATATTTAAAACGGACAAAATAAAAGTATATCCCCCAAAACAGTTATAATAGACAGCCATGTCACTACTTTAAAAAAGCATGGTAATCTGATACATCTTGGAAGTAAAAACAGCGAGTAGAGGAGAACATAAAATGGAGGAATATAAAAAAAAGTGCTGATTTTTTATTTCTCCTTTAATAATAATACAAGATACAATTGATCTACTATTCGAAAGGTAGATCAGCTCTCCCGGAAATCCTAGCCGTCGCTAGGAACCTTCGAAAAACCCTAGAAATAAAATTCAGCAAACAAAATATGATAACCCTAGACAAAACTCCCCTTTAAATAGCTCTCACACACAAGAAACACCATTGGAACCTTCCTAAATAGCATAAACACAACTAGAAACTTTTCAAAATAATTAAAACTTTCCTAAACAGCATAAACATAATTAACAAATATTCCTAAAAAATTAAAATCTTCCTAAACAGCATAAACGCGATTAGGAAACCTTCCTAAATAGCTCCCCTTTGATTCCTCCTCCTCATATAATGAATAATAGCTC